CCCGCGCCCAGGACCTGAACCAACCCTAAACCAGCCGCAAACCACCGCCCACCGAGTCCTAGACCAACCCTAAACCACACCCCAACCACAGGGGGGAGGGGAGAGGGGGACTTTCGAACCCTGGACCAAGTTACACATTTATATACTTAGCATATTTGCGAGTAAACTTCACACTAAGATCCCATTAATTCAATGCAGCGGCTTCTCGCCTATGGCACCAGGTTGTGAACGAGAAGCAGCAGAGACTTGGATAGCAATTCCATCGGGCAACTCGGGGGTTGCAAAATGGGACCCTTCCCCCAATCAAAAAAAACATAGAAACAAAAATAAACTGATGCTTTTCCGAATCCCCTTTTAAGCCACCGCAAAAGGAGCATCGAAAAAATAATAGCCTTGCGCTTGTTGGTTGGGCCTGTGGGCAAAGGTTCCCCACAGCCCAAGACCCCAGCCCCATGATGCTACCAGTCACAAAGTTAGGCCATGCTATGAAATGTACAGGAGTGCTTTCTTGTTTGGGTAAACGGGAAATATGTGCATTAAAATCCTTTGAGCAAACAACCCTAAATCTGCCACAAGAAGCACAACTACAAACAATCCGGGATTGTGTCAATGTCAGGGACCGCCCAAACACTTGGCATCCCTTGAAATGCAGACATACCGCAAAAAAATTGGCGGCGCCAGGGGGGCAACGCTCATGTCCCGTCGCTTTGAGGCTGAAAATGGTTTGGGACGATGATGTTTTCAAAAGCCTGGAGTTCGTTGAGTTGCTGGCCCTGTCAGGATGTGAGCAGGCCTTGTTCGGGTCATCCAGGGCCTAGGCATGGAACCACCCCTTGATGACCCCAAGAGGCCTATGCTCCATGCTCAGCTAGCGGCATATTCCTTGGCATCTCAGCAGCACGGTTTTGCCCCGTGGGCCATCTTAGTGGGGAGAGGCTGCTGGGTTTCATGGGGATTCGGCCCAAACAACAAGGAGCACCTTGGCCGAGTGATTTGTTGGGGTTTGCCATCTCGCTGTCTCCGGGGCCTGAGGATCCTGTACAAGTTTCCGACCAAGAAGGAGGTGAAGAACGGGGCGGCCACATACATTGTCTGGCCCCACACGGACGCCGAAATTCGCGATGCCATCCAGATCTCCACCAGCCGCACCCTCGGATGTCGGATCAAATGCCCTCGGGTCGTGGAAAGTGCGCGGAGGTCGAGCGGGAGGAGATCGCGCGAGGGGCGGGCCACTTTTGGGGTAATTAATCAGGATAAACATGAAATATGGCAAGGTGTGTGTGTGTGTGTGTGATGGCACGACTGCAAGGCAATGGGAGCGCGCGCCTTTTTGTTTTTACACGTGTTGGCTCGCATGGACTGCTTTGTATAATCCATGTGTGTGCAATGATCAACACATTCATTGGTGCACATGAAGAGAACTCCATTTGAAGTGAGAATCTAGTCATGGGGATGAGAATCGCCCGAAAAGCTCGTACTGGGCCATTGGAGTAGTTTGTCGTTTACCTGACTTGGGGCTGATGGTGAGCGTATACCGTGTCAGGCTTCAGTCTCCCGTGCCCGCTAAAAGGCGTCCATTGCACAGCGACACTAGTTGGCAAGCTGTGGGCTGTTGGGCGCCCAGTTTCATGTTCCAGAGAGCACTTTCACCAACTGAGGTCAGCGACAACTTCACCGGCTGTATCTCTTGAGCTTGACCTCAAACAATTTAACCTGTGGAGAAATTCACAAAGCGGGAAGTCAAAAATGTGGCAGGGAACCCAGGGTTTTGGTTCCCGGCGAGGCGAATATGCGATTCTGAAGCACGAACGAACCCAAGAGCTTCGGCACGTGCCCGGTCCTGCCGCTCGTTGCAACATGCTCTTTGAACGGGGGGGCTGGTGTGTCTATTCTACTTTGGACCCCGGCAGCTTGAGCTTGTTTTGCCCAAAACTGTGGTTGGTCCTTTTTTTCAGCAACACATTTCTCCGCCGTTCATGTGTCAATAGCAAGGTGCATGTTTAAGATTCACCAAACCTTACAGGCAGAGCACCTGGGATTTGGTTTCCTCCAGTGTCCCTTGCGAGGGTGGGATTTGTTCCACCTTCCGACAGGGTCCCTTTAGAACGCCTTGTCATATTCCCCGGGATGAATGGAGAGGGCCACTCGCGTTGTTCCTTAGATGTCTTGGTTGTGTTGCTGTTGAGAATGGGGTCTCCAAGGAATTCGCTAGTCCCCATGCTTTTTAGGTCAACTTGCAAAAGTCAGACAGAAGCCGCGTTCCAGTCAGTTATCACAGCGTGCGGACGGTTGACTTGCAAGAGTGTCAGTACGCAGGGGTGAATAGAGCTCTAAAGGAATAGACACAGTTGATGAAAGGAAGAGCAATATGAATGTAGAAACGAAAGAGGAGAAGATATGAATTCAGTCTGGTCATTCTATTTCTACTGGACTGGCTTGAACTGCCAAAGAGGATTCCCTTGTCCCACAGTCCTTTCGTATCTCATATTATAAGTTATATTATGTTAGATTGTAAGCCCGCACCTGCTGAGGACTTTGTATTCATGGGCGCCTATGAGACGCTCATGGCAGCTCGGAGCAAGCTTGTAGAAAAGATAAACCCTGTCTCAGGAGTGGGAACGTCCGAAAGTTGGACTCTTCGGGATTCTCCCTGGTCAAAAGCCGAACTTCCTGGCGAATTCTTGCGCTATCTGCCTGAGCCACAGGCCATGGCCGTTGGTTTGGATGGCTCAAAAAGCGTTGATTTTGGTGGGGAAACACCTAAGATTACGGGGTGGAACACTAGCAGACGAGTGAGAGGTGTCCAAGCACCCGGGATATTTGTGTGTTTGTGGCTGTCTTCTTGAAGGTATACTTTTTAGAATGGGGTTTAATGGAAGCTCAAGGCAAGCCAGCCATGTTAGAGGTTCCACGTCCCAATTGGGGACCCATGCTGCAGGGGGTGGGCAACAAAGTGGTGCTGCAGAAGCAAGAGTACATCCGCCTCATCGACAAGCTCACCGGGCCGCTTGCCGGCGCTTTTTTCGGTTTGCGCGCGCTTCACCGAAGGCAAAGGGCCACCTCTAAGTCCTTGCGTTTTGTTGTGGCCATTCTGGCTTTCTCGATGCTTAGACGGTGTTTGCTTAGATTTTCCGTTTCGATGTTTCAGCGGGCGGCAAAGAGCAACATGTTCATGGGCTGGGAAGGGTTTTGATTGGGCGAAGAGGAAAATCGAGCCCCGAAGAGTGCCTGGGACTCCTTGAAGGTCTAACGAGAATCGCGTCAAAGGTACTGGGGCAGTCAAGCGCTACAACTCGTATTTAAGGGTACAAGAAAGGAGTACCGAACCCGGAGTCTGGAGGTAAGCATAGCATTTTTTGGCAAAAAACAAACATGGCAATGATGCGCCTTCAGAGTTGAACGCCACTGTGCTAAAGGCAGCAAACCAGCCGGAAGACAAACCAGACGGCAATTTCGGCAAGCGACATAGAGTGTACATCTCTGCGTCGACAAGCTTGCTTTGTGTTTGGGGTGCTGTGGGTAGAGCTGACCACTACACGTGTACCATTGTACCGCACGAGTAACATCCTGTTGCCGTACCAAAGTCACTCAGTCCTCCAGAGCATGACTCTTGAACTTAGCCGAGCCCAACAGTGTCTTCAACATGAAATGTGTTCCAACGTAAGTCCCCGGCCGAGTTGTTGTGTTTTGGTTGCTTCTCCTTGGTATACGTAGGGTCAAGCAAGGAAGAATGGCGGAGCTACACCAAATTTGCTTCAGATGTTAATCAGGAGTTTGCTGATTTTGATGAATCCCCAAGAATCATTCTGACGCGTTTTTTGCAGAAGTGAAGCCTCCGAGAGTGATTCCAATGTGTTTTTTTCCAGAGTTGAACCCCAGAAGTGAGTCCCCCTCCCCACTCCAAGTGGCGTGGCGCCAAAGTGTATTTCTAGAAATGAATATACCTATATTATAATATATATATATACATATATATATATATATATTGTTGTTTCGAGTGATGTCCAGTCCGCGTTTTGCAGACTCTCTGCCCGCTGTAGGGTGGAGCGCGTGGTGCAGGGCGCCACCACCTTGGTGCCGGAGCCTTTGGAAGAGGCGAGGAGCGAAACGGGGGTTGCGGAGGGCCCCCGACAGGCGCGGGTCTGGAATGAGGCCGTGGGTCACCAATGGTAGCATCTTGGGGGATTTCGGTGCACAACCCCTATTTTAGTGAGGATTGAGATGTTCACTGGTACGGGATTTTGACCCATGGCCATGAATGTTTGGGGTCAGAGTGTGCACCGCAAACACGGGCTTACCAAGCCCGAAAAGGGCTGAAGGAAATCCAGGAGCTTGCAACCTCGAGACGTGGCCAAGTGTGCGGTGCAAGAGCATCCGCAAAAAGACATGCATTCCAACTCCTTGAAGGGAGATTGGCCACTAACCCATAGGGAGGTCTGACCTTGAAGGGTACATGGTGGAGGGGAAAACGCAGCAGTCACAAGCCCAAACACCACCAAAACCACCATCGCGCTTAATCCGGGAACAGCCAGGGTGTTTGCCCATGGGAGAAAGAATTGGCCAATCCCAAATCGAGTTTTGGGCCAGGCGCCTTCGGGCGTGGAGACTGCCATCGTCATCGGGGCCCAGAACGCCGTTTTGGCCCCTCGGTTTGCGCAAGGTAGTGCCTTGGAAGACTGTTCAAAGGGAAAGGACGGAAGCTGTTTGAAGAAAATCCAGAGGTGTGATTTTATGAATGTGACAAGGATCTGACAAGTGGTCGGCGTTTTTGACTTTGTGGGTAATTAACGAGCTGATCTTTTGTCGTTTGAAGGACCTATTCAACCTTCAACATGGAGTCCCAAAAAAAAAGAAATGCTTTGTCAGCCCACATGCATCAAAAATAGGACTTCGTGTAAAAACGAAAACCAACATGCAGCCAAACGTTCGAAGAGGAAAGCATTTCTCTCGACCAGCAAGATGGTTGGTTTGCTTTCAGGCATCGGAAGGCCACTCTGCTTGGGATGCAAGGGCGCAACTGCCGCTCGGGTCTTCGTCATGTGGTCAACTCTTTTCAACTGCCGCTCGCGAAACACTTGCGGGGGAGGAGAATTCGGGTGCCGGAACTGTGCACTTTGCGAACGCTTTGAGGTTTATAACAAGACCTCAGGCATCAAGACCCTCATCACAGAGGCACGAATATGTATGGGTACTGGGCCGGGCGGGTCATTACAAGCTTTGCAGGCCCTCAAAGCTCGTTCTTTGTCAAAATGGAGATGAGTTTGGCAAAAGCCGAAATCAAAAGAGGGCGGGTCGTCCTGGGGGCTGCGTTTTTTTCAGATTCCGGGGGGCTGTGTTTTTCAGATTCCTGGGGGCTGTGTTTTTCAGATTCCTAGGGCTGCGTTTGTTTCCTTTGATTGGACTCGCTCCTTAATTTCATTCTTAGTTTTAGTTACAATTTAAATTGAACTTGATGCATACACTACGTAGAATTCATACGACATCTTCGAGGTCCCAAAATTGTTAGCTACACGGTGTTTGAATGTCTACAGAAATACGAGAAATCTATTAAGTCATAAGGAAAGAATTCAGAGGTCCCGAAATCGCGTTTTTTCCTTACTAGCCCCAGCACTACCATGGTCAGAAAACACCCCAAAAAAAGTGTTTTGTAGCGGTGTTTGTGCTCAATTCACATCTCCACCAACAGCCGCTCTTTAAAATTCAGTTTGAATTTGAAAAGGATATAATTGGGACTCAATAAGGAAAAAAGTGATCAGAATCCTACTGCGAATTGCATCTTGCATTTAGACTCTAGACGGAGACCCTTTCCCAATAGAATTTCGCAATGAAACCAGAGTTTAAACATAATTGGATAAAGAAAGAGTCCAATCTCTGATAAGGAATAGATCCAATCACAACTTCTTTGTTTAAATAGATATGAATTAGAATGAGCCTATGAAAGAATGATAATTCTATCCAACCCCAGGTCTCGAACGAGCAGATGAAGATGATGGGCTTGTTTTTTGGAAAGCCTTCCAAAACCAACACAAAACAAAGAAAACAAACAATAAACCAAAAAAGGGTCTCAAACAAGCAGATGAAAATGATGGGCTTTTTTTTTTGGTTTGTAGCCTCCCCAACCAAAAAAAAGAAGGCCTTGAACGATCAGATGAAGATGATGGGCTTGTTTTTGTGTTTTTTGTTCTTTGTGTTTTATTTTTGTTTTGGGCGGGGGGGTATTAATTAGTTGGTGCGTGTTTGATGAAAAACGCAGCCCCCAGTAATCTGCACAAAGCAGCCCTAGGGCGTCCCCTTCTGAATCGAAACCTGGGTGAGTGGATGCCTCTACGGGTCGTTCCCAACAGTGCCGCTCAAAAGCATCCCTGGGCGGGAAGCGGTCAAGCACCTCGGATTCCCAGAATACAGAGTAGGCAAGCCGACCTGAATCAATTTTGCGATTTGTCAAGCCACAAACAAGCTCACAACGCTCGTTTTGAACCCACGACTGGATGGCTCCCCACAGTTCATCCAGTTTAGCACTCAACTGAATGCATGAACTAGGGATTCATATTCAAGTTTATACATTCACATTTCATCAATTCTCTACTTGCAGACGCCTTCACAATGCCCATCGGGCCCAATGCTTTTGGCGGCCGTTCAACTGGTGTCCATCGGCATGGCATCCTTTATGAATTCCTGTAGCTGGTTGCGGGCATGGGGATTGATTGGACCATGGCAAAAACTGGAAACGGAGCTAAAGTCCCCGATGACGTTTGCCCATATTCCAGCTGATGAGTACCGCGGTTTGTGGCAGGCTTGTTTACTTTCTCCATGAGAAACCAGTTTTTTTGTCGCAGGCGTGTTAGTTCTTGGTGTTTGCTGGGGAGGGTCCTAACGGCCAATATATGTTGTAATGGCTTACCACCAGGGAGTATTTGGTTGACAATGGCGCACCTCCATTTTGAGCATCCGCATCAAAGGTTGCTGCAATTGCCTTGACTTAATTCCAGCAACGGGCAGGAACAAGGAGAATCAGAGGGAAAAGGTATTACACCCTGGCATTTCACCTTGTTCCCCGACTAATTCGTTCTAAAAGGAACTAATTTGATCTATTTCGATCGATTTTGCTTTATTTTGCTTTATTTTGATCCATTTGCGGCTTGTGTGGGGCATGTCCAAGAAGCAAGAACCCCTGTCTCCCGTACAGTTCAAACACCCACGTGTTTTATCGCCAATGCTTTCCTTTCACGCTTCGGACGGATCGATGTCGCAAGTCCTACTTTTTGGGTTTGCCTTTCTTGGTGAAACAGGAAGTTTTGAGGTGGTCCCTACCTCGACATTTGAAGCTTTTGGACCCCAACAATCCCCCCAGAAGAAAAACAGCCAAAATCAATCAAAATAATTCAGGAGCTGGGTGTAATACCTTTCACCCAACGGTATTCGAGGTTTTGCAGGGTGTTTTTGGACCCCCCGAGACACCCCCCCTCCAAATTGGGAATTTCTTTGCGAGTGAAGCTGTCTCATGACACATTGGCAACATCCCCGTGGAGTTGTCAGACTGTTTGTTTGGCGCAGCTGAGCCGCTAGATGGCAACGATTGTTCCATTCAGCCCAATAGACTGGACCCACTCTCAATGGATTTTGTAAGAAGAAAGTCAAGCGAAGAAAAGAAAAACAAAAACATAAGTCAAAATAAGTAGGAATGAGGGTGTAATCTCGGGGTGTAATACATTTTTTCTCTGAGAGAAGCCGCTTGTTTTCAGCCTGGGATAAACCCACCCGGGCTTGACCCCTACATGTCTTCATATCGCTGAATCAGCCGAGCAGATGTGCACAGGCCGGCGTCTACGTGCCGGCTCCGTACGAGCAGATTATGGGGAACCAGCAGGCGCGAACCTTCGATCGGATCGGCTCACTCCAAATCCGACCCGTCAGCCTTGTGGTCTTGTTGGTTGGAAGGCTTAGTCCTAGAGCCGGAGATGGAGTTGCGCAAGGAACATGTCAAGCGGGAGCTTTGGGGTCGAAGTCGCCTGACCATTCTCCCCCTTGCCTGGTTTGCAGGGGTTGTTAAGCAGCTTTTGGCGTGAGCAAAAGCAAAGCTGCTGCTGGTGAAGATCTTGGTGGTAGTAGCAAATATTCAACAGAGCATTGAAGGCTGGAGTGGAGACGGGTTCCATGTGAACAGCGATTGGACATGGGTTATCCTAATTCGAAGATTCATTGTTTCCAATGGCGATCCACGGATGGGTGTGGGCACCCCAAGTGTTCAAGCTTCCCTTCGGCTCCGTCAAGCTATATGTACAAAAGAGAGGTCGAAGTCTCAGGTAGGTGACACCAGGCTCGGCTATTGGAGCCGCTGGAGTATGCCGTGGTCAAGGACATGCTCACGGGGGAGGCGGGCTGGCTTGGATTGCGGCTGGATGGGCCCATGGGCCCATGGGCCCATGGCTTCTCCCGTTGGTTGAAGGGAGCCATGGTGAAACCGGGGCACTTCTGGATTCCAGGAAGGGCGATTTAGTGGGCTAGACGGCCATACTGATTTCTACTTAGGAACCATGGCCACAGCCCACATGCGAAGTTTGATCGCGGCACATTTGGTTTCCCAGATTTTGCAGTAGTCGGGTTTGTTTGCCGCTTCTTCCTTGGTTTCGTGACTTAAGGCCTCATATCATGAAATACTATTGGGTGCCATCATTTTACTCTGCAAATCATCATTTTCTGCATCCAAATGCATGCAACGCATGCATCCATACATAAAACACGCTGTGCTGTCTAGCACATTTATCACTAATCGCCATCCAAAATAACTATCTCATGCATGCAAAGCATGCATCCATGCACAAATTACACGACACGCTGTGCTCTTACAATGGTTTTACACTAAACGCCATGATTTTAAACTCCACACACACATTCCATGCATACAAGCAGGCTTTTGAAGCAGCTCCAAATACACTCATCCGGTCGACGCAAACAGCGCTGCCCCTTGAGTTCAGGCGAAGAACGAAGTGGGGCCGAAGCTCCTCCAAGCCGGTCCCTATGAGGCGGGGGGAGGGCCAGTGAGTAGATGGTCAAGACCATCGAGATCTTTGAACGGATGAAGGGAGATAACAGGAGCTATGGCCAGCTGCCAACGTGTATCTCCTTCGCCGTTTTCATGTTCGTGCGGGTGTGTGTGTGTGTGTGTGTGTGTTGATTCGGCAAGTTTGTCAAAACCAGCGTTAACTTGTGAGGCAGGGTGGCCGCTTTGAGCTGAGAAACTGCATGAACTGGTGTCCCCAATATCACTCAGATTGGTAAACAAAAGAAGCTGCGCACAAGCTCCCCATGTTTAGCTCCAGATATCTCCAAGTATAGAAAAGGGAACCCCATTTTGGCTAGTGGTTCAAGCAAACCCAAAACGACGTCGGCGATGAGTAGGGGTGCTCTGCTTTAGGACATACCAGGCTGCCAGAGGCTCATGGCATTCAGCAAACCTGCAGACATCCAAGGCAGTGGCCCCCTTGGTTGATATGGAGGTGTGTACGAAAATGGGCCATCCTTTTGGATGATGTTAAAAGGGAATCCAAAAGGAAGGTGTTGATTTGTACAGCCTGCAAACCCCAACGCCTGGAAATCTGTAAAGCACGTTCCTGGTACGGATCTGTTGAGGTATTGTCTGGGTTTGCACGGTCCGAGGCCGGCGGTTCTTTTTGGTTTCAGCCGCAACACACCGGTCGCTTCCGGACGAAGGAGATCCTGGCCACCAAGAGGAAGCTGGTTTTGGAGAAGGCTCGGGTGATGGAGATGGCGAGGCCCCACAATAAAATGCGCGTGATTTTTGTATGTGGGTCAGTGAGTCTTGATTCGAACCAGATGTCAATGGATGCTGAGTGCTTGCCATCCTTGTGGCCCTTCCACACGGGCAACACGTGTGGTAGAACCTAATACGATGCTGGGTTTGGGTTGGACGTCATTTTGGGCAAGTCACAACCGAATGGCGGATATGATAATTAGTGCGCGCAACTTGCAAATCCCTTTGTCTTCAACCGACGCCTTGGTGAGAATGCAGTTTCCCCTGGCGGGCGTGTAGCACTCCCAGTGCCACGTCCAGGACGAGTACATCCAGTTGCTGGACAAGAAGACCGGGAACGAGCGCGTGCTACGAGGCGCAGATGTTTGAGTCCGTGCACGCTCTCCGTTTGTTTCCAGTATCCTACAGCTCCAGCAAAAGCAAAAAGAGAACGCTGTGTCCAGTTCCTTGCATGCATCTCAAGCGAAAGGGCATGCAAGCTGCCCATAGTGGATTGATTTCCAGGGTGGTGTTTGCCAAGCTGAGTGAGTTCACTTGTGACACATGCAAACAATGTCCTTTGACGAACCAACATGAAGCAACCAGCCAGTTACAACTCGCGCCGCGGAAGGCGGCTGAAGCACTTATCTAGAAATATGTTTCGAGGAAGGAACCCTCAGGACGGCAGCAGGTTTCATGGAAGGGGCGCAAACGTCCATTGAACTTTAGCACCTCCATTCAAATTCAGCAAGGCCCCCTCCAGTGCCTGGAACTCCTGCAAACAGAGGTCCGACTGCATTGCTGATCAAAAAAGGGAGACGTGGACAAGTCAAAAGGCGACCCATGTGGGGGTCAATCTCCGGTTTTTGTTGTCTTCTCCAAACGAACAGCTTGGGTGGAACGGGTCCTTCTGCCCCTGGGTCAATCCGAGCCGCGAGCCGCTTGCAGAGGCCCGGACCAAGTGGTGCCGGAGCCCACAGAGGAGGCACCTGACGGGGTGCAGAAGGCGCAGTATCTCACGGACCAGCGGGCCGTGGTGGTGTTGAACAGGAGACAATGGGCCCAGATCGGCACTCGCACCTAGAAGCTTGTTGCACGCACGAAGCCTGTTGTGCGGGCGAGACGTGGGCTCCTCTCTTCAAAACCTTACCCCGTCGGTCGGTGGGTTCCCTCATCGTTCCGTCCGACCACGCTGATGAACCTTGTCCGGGGACTTGCCGAAGCATTTGGAACCAGATGTCTTCTTTCACCTTGCCTTTCCGGGAAAACGTGCCGAGTCAGCTGGGCAAGTCGGAGTTTCTCGTGAGGTTGGCTCAGCCTTTCGGATGTCGGAGGCCTGGGTTGGCGTTTTTCAAGTTTGTTCCATGGAGGACCAACGGGCAGCGCCGCTTGGTGACGACCCATGGGGTCTTCGTTCCTGTGGCCTACGAGAAGGTGATCGAGGCCCAAGCCGCGGTCGAAACGAATTGAGCCCAGTTTTGAAGAAAACATCTCCCAACAAATTGCCAGCAAAAATTCGGGTGCATCCTGCGTGTCCCTTCCTTTGCAAGGCTTGCCTTTGAGGGATTCTAAATGGGAACGCAAAAGAAAACCATCTAGGGTCCAAATCCAGCAATTCTGGGCATGAAGGGATTTAACCAGTCGGCCAGCTGCACATGGAACCTGAGCCCCCATGTGTGGAAGACCACATCGGCAAGTGGTTGAACTGTGTCCTTCCAAAAGCTGTCCGAGGTGAGGCAAAAGAACCTGGTGCTGACGCATCAGGCGGAGGGGGGCCTCGACACAGGGCCCAAGGGAGGGAGGGCGAGCATTGACTTCACCACTGTTGGCACGTGTTTTGGCGCACGGGTTCGTTTATTTGTGGGTGAATGCCAAAGCAGCTGCGTGGTAAGAGCCAAGCTTGGAGTTGCGGGACAAAGTATCCTGATATGGACCCCATACACAATGCCTATCAAATGTTACAAATAGATATCAGGGGTACCTGCTCCAGAGCCACGTCTTGAGCCGTTGAACAAGCGGACAGCATCATGTCTTGTTCTATCAAAGGTGCTGGTGACCTTGTTGAGTTACTCCGCAGGGCGACCAAGAAGCATAACCGCACTTTTGGGACTCGTTGGGACAGTTGTGTGGCCTTCAAGAAGTTCTGGGGCGAGGCGCTCCACTCTCAAATGCAGGTTCCCCAAAACGAGCCACCTGCACAGAGGGTGTGTCTTGCGATCTCTTTCTTTTTTTGTTGGGTGAGTGGATGTGTATTACGTTTCGGATTCCTGAAGTGAACCCGCATGTTTCTGAACTGGCGAAATCTTCTCGGTGTTCAAGATCTTTCCTTTGGAAGGGGCTTTCTTTGAGTTTCCACGCCATGTCGGGTGTTATGTAGAGTTCCCTTGCCAAACGGTTAAGGTCTAGCTTTGACACATACTCAGCCGGTACTCAGCTTGGTTTGTCGATAGGTGTCACTCAGCCCATGATTGTCAAGCCCAGTAAATGGGCCACGATCAAAACCCGGACAAGCACGGATTGGTAGGGGGACTGTCAAAGGCATGGCATTGCAACCTTTGAACTCTTCGCATGCTTGTTGGTAGTTCTGAGTACGACTCAAACTGGGCCGAATGGCTGTGGCTTAAAAAACCGGTACCAAAATGGAACCCTGGTAAGTGGAAACATGGACCAAAACCTGCGGTTTGCCCCTCCCGGTTAATTTTGAGCCACACCCAAATAGGGGTGTGTTGGGGGAGGGGTTGCGGTGGCTTGTGAGCAGCTTTGCCTTCAGGCAGCCGTGACCCGAGACGTCGCAGGCCCGCCGATCGGAGGTCTTTTGCTGGGACTCATAAGGGTTGTTTGGGCGAACCGAGCGAGACGAAGAACCATAGAAACGTCAGATGCCGTGCACGTTTGACAGGTGGAAAACTGTGTTTGCAACCCCAAGGGAAAGATCCCCTAGCTGGTGCAAGAGAGAAACATGTTTCAATGGTGCCAGGCCCTGGGCTTCCACGGAAATGTGTATCGTTGTTTGCCGTACTAGGGCCGTCGAGGGGGTTTCGAACATCGGGTTTTCCTGCGGGTTCAACTTCAACCAACCACCCGTGTTTGATCCTAAAACATATTCCAAAAATATTCGTAAGGGCCGCTGATTCTCAACTCACCACTCGGTTTTGGGCGTGAAGCTTCGGGGAGCGGGCGGGTTTCTCGAAAGGCACCTTGACGATGATCAGCGGAGCCAGCGGCAGCAACGCCTTCTTCCTCGGCCCCTACCAGGATCCTCGCGTGCATTCCACCCTTCCTTGTGGGGCCTTTCCTGGGTGGGCTTCTCCTTTTTCAAAGAAACCAACAAAAGGAGGGCTTTTGGGGTGAGTGGGAAGGGAATTGGCGGCTTTGGTTTGCTTCTGTTGCGATCCATTGCGATCCCACAGGCTGAGCGTTGCTAGGAACGCAACTAGGTGCCTTCAAGAAGCGGATGGTTTGTCTTGGCTTCCAACTCAGGGATTCCGAACCGAAGTCACCTAAAAGCCCCTTCTCCCTGCAGGGACAACTAGGTTGTCCAACTCAGAGACTCCCAAATCCTCCCTCGGCCTGGCAATGAACCCTTGGACCTGCGTGGCGTTAGAATGAGGCCAGCTTGATTTTCTAGTTTGGTTTTGCATCTCTCCAAGAGCTCACCCTACATCCCACTGTTTTGAACACGAAGGCGAGTCCGGCGCCAGCGGTGCCCCTCCCCTTCGTTTCGAGTTGGGTTCCCGGTTCCCTTTCAGATGAACCAACAATACGTGCTGTTTCTTTGGTTTTTGTTTGTTGCTTCTTTGCATCTGACGGTTGCATGCACCCTCTCGCCCGGGATCGCACTCCGTGTGATAGAAAGGCTGTCACCATGCCCTTTTCATGAGTCGCTCAAGGCAAAACACCCGTGCCTCAGAATCCATGTAAGGGAGCAGACCCGCAAAGGCTAAAGCCACATCTCCGTTTTCCCCGGTTGGTGGAAGATCAGTTGCTCAATGAAGGTTTGCAGCCCCTACATGTTTTGCAGATAAACAGTAGATTGTCCCTCAATGGTGGATACCCTTAAAGATTGCAAATATGGGAACAAAAGAACTGTCTAAGCAACCATAGTTTACCATGGTGTTGTTATTGAGTATGCTTGGGTTTGCTTGCAATATTTTAAGGCATCCACCGCATCACGGACTCTGCTCTATGGTTTCAACAAACTGAGCTTATTGGCTTAAGAGACGTCCTTGTTCAGGGTACTCCAAGCAACACTCACCGACTCACATGACCGCAGGAGTTGGTGACAATGAATTGGTCTGTCTACGCCACGCCCGAAGCGCAGGCCGGCTGACTGATTTTGGAACCTTTCTGGGTTGATGTTTTCCTGTTGACCCGTTTTTTTTTCGGGGAAATGAAGGGGACGCCCACAAGCGGGTGTCTGCATGTTTAGAAGGCCCCTGTATTCTCGAAAAAAGGGCATCAAAGGTAAACCTTGTTCATGAAATCGTGGAATTCTATGAGAGGTTCTCCATTAGATGCCTCTAGAGTTGTATGTGTGTGTGTGTGTCTTCATTGTTGACAGCTTTTGCCGTTCCCGGGTTTAGCAGCCATTTCTGGCTTGATTTGCGCGCACTCGGGCATGCACCGAAGCTATCGCCTTGTAGGACCCGGTGCCCACGGAGACGATCTCGATGATCGACCTCAGGGCCCAGAAGATGCCACTCGAGCGGGCCACGCGGGTTTCCCTTTGCGTCCACTTGGGCGACTTTGCAAATGGTGGAAAGAGGATCATTGTCACAGGAAATTCAACACAAGATGGGAAGTTGATGGCAGGGAATGTGATGTGATGTTATGTAATGTAAGGTAAATAATTTGCTGGCGGGGGTGCGCTTTGGGCGCCGCGAAAGCTGATCCCTTCACCCACCCCCGTGAAAGAGACATTGGGGGCAGAGACTCTGACTCCTGGAATCTGATTTGTCGAATCAGATTGCAGCGTCCGGAAACACGAAACCAAGCAAGGCGCATGGGGTGTTCGGCAAAACAGCCCTGGAACCCACCAGCTGTTGAAGCCAATTGAGGAATTCTGACACCCTGCTTTTTTGGGGAGTGTGCTTCCTTTTCAAATCGCTCAACCAAGGAAAAGGGCAGACACCCTACCCATGGCAACTCAGGGCAAGTGAGACGATCAACTCAGGTTCTACAACGTGGAGGTGCGTACCAGCGACAATGTGAAGATCCGGATCCAAGGTAGCCTGTTTTGGCAGGTCCAGGACACTGGTTTTGTGTTCAGTGCATCATACGTTGCCGGTAGTCCCCTTTCGTGTGTCCTTTTCGTGTGTTTCGTTTTTGTGTTTTGTTCACGTGTTGTTTCATCATGTGGCAAAACGGCCGAATGGCCGTTTGGCTCAAGATTTGGATCCCCCGTCGGGACTTCCTTGGATTTGCGTGCGTTCGCCATAGTGCGGCGATTGGCTGCGCCATCGCGGAAAAGGTCCGTGGTGTTCCAGCTGTTCGGCACTAGGAGGTGGGCGGCAGGTCGCCGAGGTGCTCCCGGGCCCGACCCTTGTCTTTACCTTCTTCTACCAGTTTCCTAACCTCCCCAAACTTGATCTTCATTAACTGTCACTCCCACAATCTGGTCACCGGCACCCTCTACATTGTGCTTTGGGACTGGGTTCTTTTGGTACTTCGTGAACCACGTGTACCTCTTTGATTCCCTGGGCTACTTCGTGTTCGCCCAAAACCGCAGGTTATCAGCCGTACCAGCTAGAAGCTGGGGCTGGTGATCCGGTTGCGGGACGTGACCCGCTACCTGCTCCCATCGCCTACTTGTACGAGCAATGGCGTCCCCCGGAGCTTCTCATCGTGGGCCGGGCTTCGTGGACGACGAGGCCAACGCCCTTCGCGGCAACGCCGCGCCTGCTGCCCCCGGCTTAGACAGCCGGCTGTGGCCCATTCCCCCGATGGTGGGCGCAGAGCCCAATCCCGGGGTGATCACGGACGATTGGATCCTTTCTCAGGTTGTGTTTGATGAGGATGCGGAGGCCCCTATCCCGGCGGCAGTGCTCCAGATCGAGGACGGACCCCCTCTAGAAGAGGCTGAGGTTCCTCCAAATCAGGTGCCCTCATCGATTTCGCCTACTGTTCCGTTCGTGGCGCTCCAGATCGAGGACCGGGCTGTCCATCATGCTGCTCATCCGGAGCCGGCTCAATCATGGTCCCTTACATGGGATCAGTTTGACCAGCTCCTCGGCAGTGGATCGCAGGCTACACCGCCTGATTTCGGTCGGCTCGACTTCAACTCGGGTGCCCCCATATCGGTTGGGAATCTGGATTTTCAATCCCTTTTTGATGCTGATTGGAGGTCGCAGCCTTCCCGAATTGACAGATCTTTTGATGCCCTGCCTACACATGAGCCTACTCAGGGTTTTCCTCATGATGGAGAAAATGACCCCATTGAAGATTTCTCCCCCTCTCATGTTGCAGGTTCGGCCCAACCCGAGGTGGGCAAACGGGCGATTGAGGATTGGCCGCAAATAGCTGGCCTTCCTCCCGTCTCAGGTTCATCCGACATTGACATCATTCACGATCACCCCAGTCCGGCGGATATGGACTTTATCCCTGACGCAGTATCATCTCACCTGTCAGGTACCCGCGACCGGAATGCGGACCGCTACAACGCTGGTCCGAATCCACCGCTTTCCTCAGGTACCCGAGGTCGGGATGCGAACCGCTACAACGCGGGCTCAAATCCGCCAAATCGGGCATCAGGTACTAATCGATCGGACGCGGGCCGCGAAACAGCAGGCCCAAATCCTTCCTCCACTTCATCAAGAAGCCATGCCGGTCTATTCGCGGCGTTCAATCGGCGTCAGACTCGAAAAGAGTCCGCCCCCGACGTCATCGACCTCGAAGAGCAGTCCAGCCACCGTACCAGTGATGGATCCGAGCAGGATACACCTGGTATTGGCTCTACTCCCTTCGACCTCCTCGACATCCCCTTCCATCAGCCACCCAGGAGAGGAAATGAAGATGATGAAACCATCCCTGGGATCCTTGATGTAATCGATGAGGCCGAGGTCACACCAGAGAGACGAACGACATCGCTCCCGCCGAGCCGCGTTGCCAAAGTACTTTCCCCTAAGCCACTCATTGGTGACGTTGCTCAACGGCTTGATCTCACTCAACCTGATCCAGATCAAGCTCAACTTCGCGGGTCGTCATCTTTTGATAACATGTCGGGACAAACCGGCACTGACTCACGAGCCACAAAGAGGAGCTCTGAGTCACCCGAGAGACGTGAAGCTGCTTTGCGATTGCGATCTAATCCCCCAGCTCATCACGATCCTATTGACGTTCCTATCCACTCTGCGGGGTCTGGGCTCAGCTCCAATGCCCCGATGTCTGAGAAGGAGACTGATGACGGGATTAACTCTACGCCCAGGAATCGGAGACCTGGACTTAGCACTGTTGCTCCTGGTCATGGAGGGCTTCCTTCAAATCAACCGGTCAACAACTCCCTCGTCCCCGCATTCTTTCAAATTGGAACTCCGGGCTGCACTCCCGACAGGGAAGAAAATAGGCGCGGAGATCATGACGCTGATAGTCGTCCTGCTCCGTCTGCTTCCACAAGTGGCGGCCATCCTGTTGCATCTGAGCTTCAACGACTGCTTCTCGCGATCCACAACGAGGTAAAGGGGTGCAAGGCCGAAATCCAGGGATGCAGAACCGAGATTCGTTCATGTAGGGATGATATCAACGCTTGCGTCGGTGAGATCAAGAAGATCAATAACCGTGTTGACGCCTTCGAGAAGAAGGTTGAATCATCTTTCTCTGCCGTTGCCGGAACTCTCTCAAAACACGAGGCCAAGTTCCGTGATTTCCACGAGTGGGTCGCCCGAAGCGAGAAGGAGATGAATGAGCGTTTCAAGATGTATGATGAGAGGTCTGACTCGATCGTCATATCCGCTGCTGAACTTCGCGAGCAGGCCGAATCACTTGAGAACGTCAAGGTCCAGCTCCTTAGGTTCTCTGAGATCGGGGCCCTTGAGGCTGAGGTTCGGAAAATCAAGGACGAAGTTGAGGCGAACTCTCGCAGTGTCATCGACATTGAGGGAACCATCTCAAGGGAAAGAACCATCCGTGGGAACGTCGAGACGTATATCCAGCAGCTCGTTCCTGCGACCGACCTGAAGCAGTTCAGTGATAGGATGTCCGGAGCTCTCAATGAGAACTCACAGAAACAGGAAGAGTTCAAGCTTCAATTGTCCCGTATTGCTAGATGCGTCAAGGACCTTCATGACAAAAGCTTAGGCCCCAATCCGAGGGACATGCAAGAGCAGTTTATGAAGCTTGTGCTGAGGGTCAATGAGATCAACATGCAGATCGCTGAGTTGAGGGAGCAACCTCTTGCTGCCCCCCTTCAAGTGCTGGCGCTGCTTCGACCGCCGGAACGGGACCATGGGAGAAATCTGGAGACACTGATCCCTTAACCCAGGGAAGGGCTCCTAGAGGTTCTCCTTCTCGTGATGCTCGCACCGTCAGCTCGGCTAGGCCTCCTCCACCTCCACCTCCTTCAGGGCCACCCCCACCGTCACCATCAGCCCCCATCTTCGGCAGGGATCCCTCTAGAACGAGGGCCATTGCTCGGGCTGCCGGCGCTGCCCCTGATAACCGGGCCAGGTGTGCTCATGAGGAGCCCGGGCATCCACAGCATCGGGAACCTCGCTATCCATGCCGAAGCTGCGGCAAGTCAGTCTGCGAAGACTGCTTTGACCATGATTGTAACTCGTGTTTCAAGTGCAGCGATCAGTTTCCTAGATGCCGCGCATGCAGAGGAAGAGGGGGGAGACACGGACTTGTGAGGTGTCTCATATGCAAGGACGAGTACTGCGATCAACACATCGCCTCACCTGACGATGTGCGCCGTTTTGGATCGAGTGTTCGACCTATTTGCCTCGGTTGTCTGAGAGCTGACCCCGACGGGAAAACTAAGCATCGCGGTCCCAGTGCGGGGCCTGGAGGACCTGATTGCATTCCTGATCATAATCAGCGGGATGGCACTGCTCCTGATCCTGGATCCGGGCCATCACGTGGAGATCCGTCACATCGGAGTCCTGAACCGCACCAAGGGAACTCTGGTTCCTGTTCCCACGCCGGAGCTGCCGGGCCAATGCCACCAAGGGCGATGTCTTCGCCCGTAGTCGGGCGAGCAGTTCTGAGGGGGACCATCAACACGTATCCCGGATGTTCCCCTACAGGGGGGATTTTCACCGGTCAGGTTGAGCATGGAACGTCTCAGGGAGTCATTCGCGGGAGGTACGGACCTGACGCTGCTGTGACAAATCAGCAGAATCCACAGCCTCACCACGGAGTACAGGATAACTCTGGCGGGCCGACTGGTTTCTCTCTTCCACCAGGACTCGGTAAGGGTGCGCATGGCGCCGGTGGCGTCGGCGGTATTGGAGCTCCCGATCTTCGCCGATCTTCCGCTGAGGAGAGGGTCTGCCCTCGATGCAACATAAATGTCAAGACCAGCATCCCCGGGACGCCTCCATGTTTCCAAACTTGTTCGTTGTGCCGCACTTCTCTATGCGCCGCGTGCTGCCCGCCATCGTCCGGGAGTTGCTCTCTGTGTGCCATATCCATTGGCAGAGACGGCGTTTTACCTCCCCATGTTTTTGGGCAGGCTACTCGACCTCCCTTAACTTCGTTGCCATCTGAGGCGAACAAGTGCGCCAACATAGAGCTCGAAAAAGAGCCCGCACCGCATGAGTTGCGAGACTGGATCATTTCCACGAGAGAAATCGTGAGCAACGCATTCAGCTATGACTCGCCATATGCCATGTCTTGGGTCATGAGTGTCGAGAACGCCAGCACAATAGAGGAACTTGATGGGGAGTGCCTCTACCCGATCCTTGACAATAAGTTCAATGCTGCACTGAGAAAGTGCATCACATCGAAACCTATTGTTGCCAAGATCAGCAGGCTGACTGAAGAGGCTCAGGTAAAAAGGGGGACGAGGCTGAAAAGCCGCCAGATCCTGTTCTGTCTCATTGAATACCTTCGTCCCGATGAAGTCGGGAGCCAGTCTATCCGTACGAATGAACTTCTTCGCCTATCCCTCGGCAGAGCTGCCGGGTCTGGCGAGCCTCAGCTTGAGAAATTCCTTGATAAATGGGAAGGACTCCTGGGCGGAATCACCGCACCGATTGATCACCATGTTCTTCAGCATGTTTTCTTTGAGCAAGTTCGACACTCACCATGCTTG